ACTCTCAGCTCTGTGCAGTCAACAGGAGATGGGTGGTTGGAGTCTTCACTATTCTTAAATCTGCATTTATGGGGAAGTGTAGCTATACCTGCTTAATCAATGATGCATAGAAGTAACTGTGTTCATATCTTTTCCACCTGTCACTTCAAATAGCTTGGCTAAAAGAGTTACAAGCAGGAAAACCTGCCAAATGAAAAGGATTCATTCATTGACCATTTGTTTTACTGTTTGCCCACTTCTATAATTATTTCTTCCTATCTAAAACCTTTTCACACCCCCTCCTCACATTTGTGCCTGATTGCATTTTACTGTCATTGAAAATCCAAGCATCCAGTATCTTTTTAATGCCGTCACACAACACGTTCCAAATATTGAAGTTGTTGCTCCTATCCACCCAGCCCTCAGGCCTTGTTAGGTTGGGAATCATCAAAGTCAAATCCTGTCTTTGGTGTTTGAAGCAACTGTGCCCTCTCCATCCCTCTCCTGTTGTAACTGCTCTCATTCTAAACTTGGCTCTTCTTGTCAGGCCAGGGTGTAGCTGGCAATGAAAGAGGCAGATGAGCTGAGATGTGGTGACCACAAAGCAGTAGTGACACAGCAAGCATGGAATCCAGCCAGGATGGAGCCCCAAATAATCACAAATGTGCACATTTCTTTGGCAATTAACCAAAGAAAGTGTTGAAAGTTTTTGCCCATGGCTTACCTACAAGTAATGGCTAATAGGAACTGAGAAAAGAATGAGAAGCCACTGCTGGAAAATGTCCCTGTTGATGTGCCTGGGAAAGCACCAGAACATAACCCAAGTCGCATATGCAGCATAACTACATGTCAAGGCTAGAGTTCTGTTCCATCCCCAACACGTTTCATGATGTATTTGCAAATATTTCAAAATCTGAAAAAATGTGAAGTACGATGGACTTGAGTTTCCAAGCATCCCAGGAGAAGCATTTCCAACCTGCGTTTACTCTTTCCCTATCATATACTAAGTGTCTTAACCCATTATGGATCAGAAAACTTTCTCAACCAACATTCGTTTCTACCGTTTTAGCATTTCTCTTCATAATTAAAATTTATATTTGTCTGGTAGTTTGTGTTTTCTTTAAATCGTTTGGGTACAGTAGCACTGGAATCTGACATGGCTTACAAAATTTTTCTTTAAAAAGCATCTTAAAAAGTGTATGTATATTTCATATAAATGAATATTTTTGCTAATGGTAGTGGATACTATGTGGGAAAGAATGTAATTATTTTATCTAAACATGCATGTAAGAAGATGATATAAAATTCTCTTAAAATTGTATAGATAAGCAAAATACCTGTTTCACAAGAAATCAACATGCACCCCTATGTTCATAGCAGCACAATCAGTAATTGCAAAAACATGGAAGCAACCGAAATGCCCATCAGCAGAAGATTGGATAAGAAAGCTATGGTTCATCTACTCCATGGAATACTACTCAGCTATTAAAAATAAATAAATAAAATGCAGTTTTTTATGGCTAAATGGGCCCAACTGGAAACCATAATGCTAAGGGAAATGAGCCAATCCCAAAAGGTTAGATACCACATGTTTGCCTTAAGATGAAAGGACGTCAGTATGAAAAATAGTAGCTGTAAAAATGTCAATTTTTTTTTCTAACATATTGGTTACTCAATACTGCGCCCACTAATTTCATGACGTTGTGGACTGTTGCTGATGTTATGTTGGGGCTTTTGATTGGTCGGGATGATACTCTGCCAGCTCTACCTTCAGACCAGAGACGGTCTCCCCAAGAAGCCGTTGAACTTACCTGGTCAATAAGATGCTGGGCTCTATGCTTGGTATATGCTTGCAATGAAAGAACCCCAACTGAACTTGAACTGTGGCAATGCAGCAAGGTGGAGGAATCCACCATGGGGGGAGGGTTTGGGGAAGGGCAGGGGGAATCCCAGTGACTAAAAAACTGTGTCACATAATGCAATGTAATAATAATAATAATAATAATAATAAAAGAATAAATCTTCCATAAACTCGAAAAAAATTATATGGATAAGAAAAAGTATTTTTGTGATTATTATAGCTTTACAATTTCTAAATTCATCGATTTCAATGATTCTTCCTTCTTCGTAGGCCACAAAACTGAACATCTCATTGGCAACTGAATTTTTTGGAGAGTCTCCCAAAACACATACAGTAATAAATAGAAATGGTAGAAATCATTTCCTGTGTCCGTGATGGGCTGGACTTGCCAGGATGACAGCTCATTCCTGAATTTTCCACAGAAGCGCTTCCATGTTTAGGGTCCATCCACAATGTTCCACTTTGGGATTACAAATTTCCTCTCTCCCCATTTTCCAAAATCAGGTCAACTAGCTATCGTCACTCATGAAATTAAATACCTGGCATTCTCATTCAAATGTCTCAGATACAGACACAGAATCTACAACAGAATCCCTCGGATCATTTGAAATGAGGATGATCAGCATGGAGGTTCAGAAAGTATGCACTGAGATCCAAGGACTTGCAAAAAGTAAGAAGTATCTCCAAATTTTTACACATTGACTTTAAAAGCAGTTTTGTAGCTATCGGTTGGAATGATTAAATTCACCTGTTCTCTTTAATTTTCTTAAAGAAGTTATTAGAAATTTTCAAATTACGTATGTCCTTCCTACTATGTTTCTGTTGAATAAGACTTGCTTGAAATGTTCATTTGCATCCTGCTGCATTAGATGTCAGCCTTTTTGTGATCTTTCTCTCTCTCTCTCTCTCTCTTCCATCTCTTCCCTCCCATTCTTCCTTTCTTCCTCTTCTCTCCCTCCCTCCACTGTTGTAACATGGGTGTGATTATTATTCATGCCTCATTTTATTGAGCATTAATCCACTAAGCCATGAAGTGGTACTGCATCCCTGAATAACTTCAGATTCAGAGGTTTTCACAGAAGCTTCCTGGTATCTTTTGCTACTGAGGAGCTGGAAATCTTATTGCAGAAATCTAAACACATGTGCTGGGTATCAAAGAAGCCTGCTCCACATTCTCTTTGAGATATAACTTTCTTCTCCGAGTCCAACTGTAAAATACCCTACCTTAATAAGGAAAACCAATTCTCCATCAAGGAAGCCAATGCTTGGCAAACCACATTGGGCCAATGACACCACACATTCATCTTCCAAGACAGGGTTGACTAAGAAGCCAGATGAACACCAAAGGGCCTTCCCAGTGCCATGGCTCCTTCACTAACGGCATCTCCCACGATGAGCCACGTGGCAGAAGGTAAGACCTGCCAAGCACGGAATCAAAGGAGCCTTGGAATAAACCTCTCATTGGTACTATTCACGGGATGCCTGACCTTAGACAGCCTACAGTCTGGAGTTCTCCATCCCATAAAATCAAGGTTGCAATAACATATGCCTGTGGCAGGGTCTCCTAACTGATCCTGGAAAGTCTCCCGTTTCAGCTTGAATCTTGGTTCATAATAGAAGACAACGTCTCTTGGACTCTCTTGACGTTTCCTGTGACCAGGCCAGGTGAGCATTTTCCAGTGAAAGTGATATGAAAAGAGATATAACTACTTGTATGTTGTCTTCTCCCTGCCTAGTGCTCATAACACAGATAGGCTCTGGAATATTCTTAAACCATACAGACGAGGACAATCATGTATAAAGTACAAAGCAGCGAAACAGCAAGGCACGAAAACGTGTCTGACCCATTCTCACTTTAGCCTAAATTATTGCATGACCTGAATATGTATTCTAATCTGTCACGCAAAAGAGGTAATTCACTGACTTCATGTACGTCAAGTACTTAGTATATGACTAACATGTAATAAGCACATGAGAACATTCGCTGTTATTATCATTGTTCTTATCAATATCATTGTTGAGAGCCCAACATCCTATCACACGGCTAAGAGCTTACTGAAAAACATGCTCCCATACACACACACACATATACACAAGCTAAAGCAATTTTACCATGCTAGTTCCAAAGGTGCCAATACGCACAATATTGACAGTACGTAGATGTAGAATATAGAGGAACCTGGCAGTTGGCAGAATGTCCCCCTGAGTCTGAGAAATGAAAAACCACAGACTGAATGCTCCGTATCCCAGGATATCCTCCTGGGAGCTGAGTGCCTGCTCTGCACAGGTGGAAATCATGATGAGGCTGCTAGGCGGGACCAGCAGAAGACACATCTGTGCCAGCTCATGCTCCATTACTCCACACAGTTCCCTCTCCAAAAAGCTATCTGCTCATTAAACCCTGATGTCTTTTGTCTTGTTCAATGAAGACAAGAGCAAAGACAGCAACTTTTAATGACGGTCTTCTCCATAGCCACGGAGTCACCATTCCTTCTTTAGGCAATTGGGTCAGAACTGAGGATTGCCTAACTCCAGAGCAGGAAGAGCCAGCCATCTGGTACTGACCTGGTATCAAGTGTGTTTTGTCCTAAATTTCAGGAGTCGCCTTGAACCTCCAGAAATAACCAACCTCCAAGTCATAAAATCAAGGAGAATATTTCTGCAGACAGATCCCAAATATGAAGGACTGCATGCAACCTCTTGCATGTGCTCCCCTAAAATAGGGCCCAAGGTCCTCACCAGAATGCTAACATAGCCCCTCATCCTCACACGGATGCCAGCAGAGCCCACAGTCCTCGCCAGGATGCCAGCATAACCTCTGGCCCTCACCGTGATGCCAGCAAAGGCATCTGGCAGTACGATCGTCTACATACAGGAGCACCCATGACTTCCCAACTGCACAGAGCCTAGGGCATTATAACCTAACCGGCCAGACGGATGGAATCTCTGCTCAGAAACCTTCACCTATCGGCTCATGGCCTGCATACCAATGATGAAGTACATTCCTCCTGGAGCCTTGCTGAGCTCCATCCAAGGTCTCCTAGGAAACCTGTGTGGATATACAGGGATGGAATGCCTGACGCTGGCTCCGATGCCCAGGTCAGATCAGGAGTGTAGCAACTGTCATCTAGTGTGAAGATAATCAAGACTGAAGTCACACCTTTTGGTTCTGAAGAGGCCGGCAGCCGGAATCCTTGTGGATGAGCTGCAAGGGTGCGATCCAGCGTGTCACATCTAATAACGCTCTTTGTAGAAGTCTGAGATGCTGAGAGATCCGGGCTGCTCATGTGAAAAGCTGGGTTGATAATGCCTTCCATTGTGTCTCTATCTTCTTTAACTAGAGCACAACAAGGAGGTCAGAAGATCACACAAGAGCAAAACATATTCCACTGACAAGCAGAAAATTCCTTCCAGTGATTCTTGTGCAAAAACACTCCAGTGAATCGTCCTCAAATGTCACCAAAACAGAATTAGGTTAAAATTAACTCTTAAAAAAAAAAAAGAATAAATGATTAAAATAATTACAAATTGCACCCTGACAAGCAAGAGCAAAATTTCGCCCACAGCCATTTGTCTGTAATTAGTTAATTAATCCTTACACAAATTATGAGCAATAACTCATCAAGCAAGGCTCACCCATCAGAAATTCAGCCGACTTGGATTTCTTCTGCTTAGTTTGCTTCACAGCCTTCTGCTGAAACTTCTGGAGGGAAATTGTTAAATGAATAAATTAGCTAAAGAATGAAGATCATCATTTATGATCCACAACTAACACAGTATTTTAAATATGGGATGGCATTGAAATGTCATTTAATTTACATCTCTCCTAAAGGGGTCAAGCACTAATTGAACAACAGAAGTGGAAGAATTAAATACAATTGGATAAAAAAAAAAAGTTAATACAAATGCCAAATGAAGGTCACATTAAAATACTTTGTTTCTATCATTGTTAATTAATGCGAAAAAAGCCTTCAACAAATGAGAAGCACTAGAAAATTCGCAGTGAGAAACTGGCATTGCACACCAGCTTTCATGCAGGCTTTGAAATGACACCATTGAATTTTGGAAGAATCAAAACATCTTGTAGAAAGTGTATAGGCCATGTATTTGTTCTCCCTTGCACCCATATTTGTTTTAAACTGCTCTGAGATTCTAAGGAGAATCTGAACCGGTTATTTATTTAAATATCGGAAGAAATGTATATAAGCCAATCTTTTTAAATTTCCGTAACAGATAAAATAATGTGACATGCTAGAACAATCAAATTCCTTGGGGCTCTCAAAAATTTCTTAAGATACTATATTACAGAAAACCAGAATTCATTGCTTGACTAGAAACCCATTAATATCAGAATGCATAATAAATGGCTAGAATGAAAATGAATAGCCTGAAATATTATTAGCATTCTCAGATTCGTACAAGTTCTAAATGAACATTTGGTAACTGTCAGAATAAATTCTTTTAAGTATCTGTGGTAGAGACATTGAAACTGAGGTTGTACTCGAAAACTCAGGTCTATCGAAGCAAAACTGCAAGTCCACTCCAGAACCATGATTTTATATAAGAGGAGGCTCCAGATAAGACAGTTGATTCAATGAAGTTTGTGATGAATGGACTAAGAATAATAAAACCGGGAAGCCTGCATCATTGCGCTGATTTGCGCTGAGTTGCTATTTCCCTTTGTAGTTAAAATGTTTATAATGCTTCTAATTTACTTTGGAAAAAAAAAAAACACTTTGTTCCTATATCATATCCATAAAGCAAAAAAAAGTTGAAAAATAACATAATATAATGTTGAATATAATATAATATAACATGTTGAAGATTTACTAATATTCCGTATCATCAGCCAAGATACAGGGTCTAACTTTCAGAGAATCTGTTTTCTAAAGGACAGATTTATTCTGAAACTGATTTTATATCCATGTAAACAAAATGAAACAAAATAATTGCCTCTGGAGATCTTCAAATTTTTCACCAAGGATGAAAAGAATCAGTCTTGAGTAAAGATCACAATTACAAAAACTTTGATTTTCGTTGAAGAGAAATGTGTAATTGTAATTTTAAAAAAAATCCAGTGACTTTTAAAACGAGTATGTATCCACAGCTAAGCAATTCTGAAAGTCTGAGACTTCATTTTATATCTGTAAAGCAAAAGAGTATATGATATATAATTGCTCTACTTAAACCATGTGATAGAATCTGGGAGATTGTCTTATTGCTGATGGAAACCTTAAAAGCTACTCAGTGCCCTGTTCATATATGAAAACATATACAATAAATACCCTTTTCAGAGTTTCATGTATCCAGTTTTTCAGTCATAACGTAGGAATATTAGACCAGCTTTTAAGAGCAATCATGTATAACTTCGCTGAACGCTCTTCCATTTTAAGAAGAAAGGGGTGAAAATGTAACCACTTCCTTCATAGCCTTCATTGAGGCAACAGATACTAGCTTCCTTGACATGGTTCAGTCATTCTGGCAGTTCACTCCTTTCAGACTGAGTTAAACACGCCTTTAAATAGATGAATGTGGCCTAGTAACAGACCTCATTTCCTTACTAAGGGCTTCAAATGAAATCACACACCTGCCCTCCAATGTGGCAGAGCTCTCGAAGATAGCTGAAGCAGAAGCAGTGGCTGACGACACACAGCAGAGATGGATGCTTTGAGAGGATCGCGGTTGGCTTTGTATTTCGTGATCTCTTTACTATTAACACACATTCGAGAGGAAACAGGCGATGATTTCCGACTTCTCGCCTCAGCCGGTCTCCTCGCTCCTGTCTCTCTTCACATTCATGCACTTGCCACCGGCGCTAGGTGTCTTGCCTCCATTCACTTCCCAGTTTCGAGTTTTCACTTTGTGGTAAAACTTTCACCTCTTTAACTCGTGCAAGATAATGCTTCTCTCCTACTAACATCACTCATTACCAGTTAAGCAGATGTGTCTATGTCAAGGTTATCATTTACGAAACTCATATGAACTTATTAAATGCTGGGATGGCTTTTCAAAACAAAAGAAAAAAATAGCCATCAGAAGCTTCTGCCTTGTCACTGCTACCTACTCCGTTTTGCAGAAAAGTCCAATTTGTAGATCTTAACTAAATCGACTGTGGATACGCCCCCTGGCTTTTTTCCTTTCTGTTTCTGTTTGGTTGAGAAGTTTAAATCAAATCACTGTGAGCAGTTGGCAGTAACACCTTTTAAAACTTGTTTTTAACTGTGGTAAGCACAGATAACCTACGATCTATCCTTGCAACAACTTTTGTTAGCACATATATGGCAATGTTAGCCAGAAGCCCTAGGATAACGGACAACAGTAAGATGAACTCACCTTACACAATGAAAAGGTAACATATGCTTAACTGTTGATAAACCGGATTTTGTCAAATTTGTTGACTTGCCCTATTCAATGTTAAACATATAGTGTGGAAGAAAACCAATGCTTTGTGACTTGAACAGGGAAGAAAAAAAAATTGCTTGAAATGTTTCAGCATTGACAGTGTTTCCAATGGCACTTCCCTGCGCATCCGCAAGCAACAAATAGCTTTTGATGCACACACTCTCCACTTGGAAGGACGCCTACAGTGGAGAAACATCCATGAACAACAACCAACTCATTTGTAACTGATGACAACCCAGGCTGATGAAGTTTTTAAAAGAATGTGATTGTTGTCAGAAGGAATCGGGTCCCCGTGTGGCTCATTGAGCTCTGGTTGCAGTCAGAGCCACGGCTGAGGGGCGCGAGGAGCATTCCTCCCAGGCTGGTGGGCACAGACCAGCCGGAGAGAGCGTTCTGCATGCTGTACGGATCATCGCTCAGTTCAGGGCAGTCACATTGCATCTGGGATCAAGCAACTGTGCTTCATGAAACCGTCAGCCCTCATTTGCGTCTCGCCTGTTTTCCTCTGTCCCACCGTAAACAAGGCCTGCTGCAGTTGTCTGGCTATCCTTCTCTGCAAGGGCAGATCTCACAGTCGGTCCCACACAGTGGCCTCTGAGCTCAAGTCGGAGTTCCTTCTTACAGACAACAGCTCCAGCGCCCGCTGGGAGGTCACAAGCGAATGAACTGAAATGACAATTAGGGTCCCTTTCGGGAGATGCATCTTTCAGATGTCTTGCTGCACAGTCTGGCATGGCAGATCTCTTCCATGGAATGAGACAAAAGTGTTCCTAAGAGGAACAACTGTTTCATCACGACAGATGACGTCAGCAGATTCATCTTGCTGGGCAGGTGCCAATTGTTTGTTTTTCCTTCCATCAATCTAGTACAACACCAGGAAGCTGATCTCACCAGTGTTGCTCAGAGTACGGCAGTGGCTAACAGACAGGTATGCTGGCTTCTGTTCTCACACCTCTGCCGTCTGCAGCCTCTGCAATGAGGTTTTCAAGGAGTAGCATCTCACCAATGAAAGAAGGGAGCACTAGGGATGCCCTTGTCAGGGCAGATGGCGTCTACATAATATCTACAAATGACGATGCAGAATTCTAGTCAGCTGCTGTGCCCCGTCCGGCTTTTATTTATGCATCCTAAGCTGGAACCCTTTTTGTTCTCCTGGTCTAAGACTTTGTCCATTGAAGGGATAACAGCCAAAATGAGACAGTTTGTATTTGTAGTGCACTCTTCAAAAACATTTCTACATGCCATGCAACTAAGAACTGAATTAATACTCAGTTTGTGTTGAAAGAGGATAAAATGTAGATGCTTTTGTTTTTTCCAAGCTTCGTAAGCCTAAAACAGAGATCTTTGCTTTGTGAAACACACAACCAAGGAAGGTAGTAAGAACCATGGTCAGACATGTTTCTGAAAGGCTAACTCTACAAACTGTGTTCAATGCCTGAAACTGCCCTGAAAATTTCACCTTAGGGCCCGGCGCAATGGCGCAAGTGGTTAAGGTCCTCGCCTTGCACGCCCGGGATCCCATACGGGTGCCGGTTCTAATCCTGGCAGCCCCGCTTCCCATCCAGCTCCCTGCCTGTGGCCTGGGAAAGCAGTCGAGGACAGCCCAAAGCTTTGGGACCCTGCACCCGCGTGGGAGACCCAGAAGAGGCTCCTGGCTTCAGATCGGCATAGCATCGGCTGTTGCTCACTTGGGGAGTGAATCATTGGACGGAAGATCTTCCTCTCTGTCTCTCCTCTCTGTATATCTGCCTTTCCAATAAAAATAATAAAAACAAATCTTTAAAAAAAAAGAAAAAAAAAGAAAATTTCACCTTACTGAATTCCAAAATAAAAATTCCATGTATGATGTTTAAAAACACGCCAACATAAACATGTGTTTCTCCAGCTCATCATCGTAGGAATCGCAGAATGAACTATCCACGGTTGCAAACCCAACAGAATCTACAATCTCTCCCGCCTTCTTCTTGAACGTCCCTGCATCCCCCTAACCAGTATCCCCTGATGGAATGAAACTGTGGGCAAGTATCTATTTGAAAAAATTTAAATCAAAAGCAATAAGACAATAGAACTACAGCCATGAATTATAGAATTTCCCCAACCTTAGGCATTTAAAAAAAAAAAGACTATGTTGAATAATTAGGCATTCTATCCCCAAAGATGATCCAAAATTGAGTTAACCAAAAACAAAGTTGGCCAAAGGAGTTGTGATATATTTGGGACTGCGAGCACCCCCCTACCACACCCCAAGCCCCCGGTAGCACTTCCCATTCAAATAACCGTTGACATGATGATGAGGGAAACGAAGTTTAGGTGACCAGC